GGTGGAGTTCAATAACACAAAGATCTTCATTGGATTAGTGAGGGGTCGCTCGGGTAATAAAAATCTCGTGGCTCCCAGGATTTGAAACGTGGTTCTCCCGGAAGCACCGGCCAAGACCTCGGACATTGACGTCGTCAACCATGGCTCAGATTTTTTTGTGAGTTGCTTTGCTCATCGCCGTCTCACCGAAGAGATCAGATATTGACCAGAGATTCACAGTGTTGGCGGTACAGGCCACATCGGCGGCGCTGTGCTTGAACTACTTCTCAAGCAACATGCCGACGCCAAAGTGAAGGTCTTGGTGCGGGATGAGGCAAAGGCAGAGCGTCTGGTCAGCAAGTACCCGCAAGTCAGCTACGTCGTCGGTGACACGGGCAACTTTGAGCTTCTCGAGAAGTGCAGCAAGGAGGCCGACATCGTCATCAACACTTCCCCGGACATCACGCACGACGCGGGCATCAAGGCGATCCTCGCGGGCCTGAAGGCGCGCGAAGGACCCAAGGGATACTACATCCACACTTCGGGCGCTTCTCTCATCTGGGACGAACCCGCCGGCTCCAAGGACGCCCGCTGGTGGGACGACATCAAGGACATCAAGGACATCCTCGCCTTCAAGGGCGAAGCCCATACGCACGCCGTGACTGACAAGATCGTGCGCGATGCGGCCTCAGACGTCAACGTGGCCATCGTCTCGCCCGGCTTCGTCGGCGGCATGAGCCCCTCCATCGAGCACCCGACCCCGATCACGACGCCCGCCATCTTCCTCACCGCCCGCGCCATGAAGACGGGCTGGCAAATCGCCGAGGGAGAGAACACCCACGCCTGGATCGACGTCTCCGATCTTGCGAGGATCTTTCTGATCCTCATTGGAAAGGCCATCAATGGCGCGTCAGACTCTGAGCCGTTTGAGCTCTGGGGACCGGAGGCGTACTACTTTGCCACCAGCGAGGACATCTCGTTCGCCAAGTTCATGAAGCACCTCGTGCCCGTTCTTAAGCATCACGACGTTATCGAAACCGAGGAGATTAAGTCGGTCAGCGTGGTCGAGGCCGCGAGAACCAGCATGGGCGGAAGCGACTACGACCCCGACGACACGCCGCCGCCGCCGGACACCTGGGCCATGCACATTGCCATCATGTACGGCATCAACATGCGCGTCAGCGCTTCCAGGATGGAGAAGCTCGGCTGGAAGGCGGAGAAGGGCAGCGTCGTCGACACTTTCCCTGAGGTGGTCACCGAGTTCCTGAAGCGGGAGAAGAAATAATTTACCTCGCTGTCGTTTCTTGTGGACGGTATTTCACGACCTGGCAAGATTGGAGGTTGTTAGTAAAAAAACAAACTACATGTATGTGTGCGGGGGGCGGATTGCTTTCTATTGCTGCAAGGCAGAAATCTACGCATGTATCTCTAATAGCTTCGCTGCTCAATTAGGCGCTGGGGAGTGTTTTTGCTACAGCGCAGCATTTGATACTGGTTTCAGAAACAAAAAGTTTTTATATCCTTCATTGAAGATCACGGATTACAACACAACTCGTTGCTTGGAATGCGTGTGATCTTAGTTTCGGTTTCATGCACCCAGCTATTTGTGTTAGATCAAGCTATCTATTGAGAGTCAAGTTGCTCAGGTGGCGTCGCAACTTTAGAGTAAATGAGTGGGTCTAGAATGACGATATTTACATGAGGCGTGCAAAAATGAACTCAGAACTGCATAATTATCTGGTCATGAAGACAGCCGTAAGTGAGACAGATGCTTTTGCCCCGAAATCTCTTATGTTGTGTCTGTTCCAGTCTCTGTGGTCTAAATCTCACTTCTAAAGGAACTTGATACATGCCGGCCTTGATTGTGTTTAGTACAATCAGAGCGTGAGACTTTCGAGTGAAGCAAATTTTATTTAATCTTCATTCAGTTGCATAGTCGATCGAGCAAAAGCTAATCTAGTTTGGTCAAACATCTCAGATGAAGTACTTAGCGCGCGATTCAAATCCACTTCCCGTCAATCGTCTAAGTTGATTGGGTTTTCAATACTCCCACCCTTGCCCTGCAACTCCTTTTGTTTTGCCAAAGATGACAACACAGGCGCCGAACCGACATTCCCTGATACCGGATGTCTGGCGGAATTGGCCGCGGAGTAATGCTTCCTCAGCGTTTTCAAAACTTCGCTGACACTATCTCCTTGGGGCTGGCGAGTCTCTCGTGACACTGACAATTCATTCCTATTCCTTGGTGAGGGAAAGCTCACAGATTCTTCTCTGACTCGATTGGTAGGTTTGAGCGGTGTTGATTTGTCAATTATGTTTGTTGGCTTGCTTGCCGCTCCAAGAGCACCCGACGGCACTGCTCCTGAGTCTACTTCTTGGGATGAAGAGTCGCCTAATAAGTCCAAGAAATGGTCGTCGTATGATTTGAATTTTGCCGGGGGGTTGGATGTTGTCGGTTGTTTCGGCCGTGGCGTTACTGGAGGAGAATCTTCTGCCTTCCTCTTTCGCCCGCGCTGTCCTGTCCGGATTTTGGGTAACGCACTTTTCTGAGATGCGGATTTGCAATTTCCAGTTGACGCTTTCTTTAGGCCCTTCCGCCATTCGAAGAATTCCTCGTCGGACATTCCCCAGCCGAGAACCGCATCCAGAATCACAGACTGGACACTTTCAAGAGGCTTCCCCACGACAGCGTTGTCAGCCTCTTTTCCAGTCCGAATCCCGTTAAGTACAGGCATTCCTTGAGGACATCTAGCTTCCTCAATGCCTGGAAATATCTGGCGTGGGTCAATGTCGGCAACGCTGGTGACCTGGTTCTTCTGCCTAACATTCTTGACGAGATCGCGAGCGCCGGGTTCTAGGGCCAGTAACCTCTGGTTCAAGGCAACGGGCGCCAGGTGACGAAACCACCATTTTGACGGTTTATTGTAGTGAAATCTGTCTCTCATGTACGGTATGGTTGTGCACAAGCTCTCTGTGGAATGGCCTTTGTACCAGTCACCCTGTATGCAGTCTAGGTTGCGTAGTTCGTTATCGCTGGAAACTTTGGGATTTCGGCAATATCCCAGCGCTTGAAAGTTCGGAAACTGGCTGATGTTCGCTTTGTCTTTGTCGAAGTGAGATCTCAACGTGGGGCTGAGATTGCTCAGTTGGGCCTCTAGTCGCCTTCGCCACAGATTCCAGCTGCTTTCGCTCGCATTTGCCGATGTTGCTGGAAACTGCTCCACAAGTATCTTCTTTGTAGCCAACTCTCGGCCAACAGCCGTACTACAGCCGTGCAGGCCTTTGGTGTAGTCGCACCCCGCCACCATGGCATACAGAACGATACCATTCGCTGAAATACCCGTCGTCCGTTCGATGTCTCTCAGCCGATAGACTTTTGCTTCGTCTTTGCTCTTTTGTCCATTGCTTTTGTGGAGATTCTTGACGAGGACGGTGCACCCAAACATAAGCGTGTCCGAGTCCTCCGACCGAACCGCATCCACTAGGCCTAGCCTCTGCAGGGCAGCGCATTCAGCCTCGGCTTCGCCAGGAGCCTGGCGCCAGGGTATGTGAAGTTTGGTCAAGGTTTCCTTGAAAAAATTGCTGTTTTCTTCCCTGGCCTTGCGTCCTGTAGAATCCTCGGTCTTCTTGTCGCGCTTGACATCTGGTCGTCCTTCACCATCGAACACAAAGATGATCTCAATACCGATGTTCATCAGGGACCAAATGCGGTCGAGCATGTTCAACTCGCGTGGTCTGGCGGGAGGAGTTCCTGGAAGAGCAAATGTTAGATGTGCCTCATTTCGGTTGTTGGGCAAGTGTGAGTAAGGACTCGGGAGGAAAGAGCATGGGCAGGCTGGGTGCGTAGGACATCAAACGCAATAGAACAGTGTGGCGACGAACTTCTCTTGATCTCTTCGAAGGCTTCAACAGTGATGGCTTTGTAACGCCAGTGCGCTTCGTCTATGGCTATCCGCAGTGGCCGCCTATGCTCCTTAATATGGTCCGCAGCCCATCGTGCTAAGGAAGTGTCGATGCCGGTGTCTTTGATGACATCCCAGAACCTAGAATGGACAATCGTTAGCACAAATCTGCCCATGCTTCGCAGTTGAAACTGACACATTGATTCCCATGGTCTTAATCTAGAAGTTGTAAGGAAAGGGCGTCTGACTGGGATGAGGTTTGATGAGACGCGTATTGCGGGCAGCAGCTGCTGGTTTGAGATCGAATCCAAGGGCGGCAAACCGACGACTTAAATACGTGAAAAGGAAGAGGGAACCGTCTAAAATTAAATCGAAGCGAAAAGAATGAATGCAGCCGCGCAAGGCAGGTCAATCCAGATCCGCGACGCGAAAAAAGCAATAACGCGTTGCACTGTCAACCTGGAGGGGGAGTTCACAGTTACTTCCGATAGGCAAAGTGGGACCCGGCCACCGGAGGTCAACGGAGGTCAACGTGGATGCCCGGAATGGTTGAGACGTGAGAGTTCCATCGATTGATGGGCTGAGTGGTAGTCGATGTAGAGTAGAGGGGAGAGAGAAGGGAAAAATAAATAATCGTAGAGTTGGCGAGAGCGAGGGGCACGAGGACAAAGAACGCACTGTGCATCGGCAACGGCAGAAGGCGCGGGTGAAGTATCCCGAGGCAGGTGCCATTGGGATATAAGGAGATTCACATGTCCCGCCAGGCAACAGCGGGTGTAGCGGTGGCCGTGAATATGCCGAGTATGGCCCAAATGTCAGCTCAACACGAGTCCACCTTATACAACGCTGGGGCTAGAGGTTCGAATCTCGTCGGGATTCCTTTTTTGTCCTCTTCCCCTTTCTTTCACGTCCCCGTTTCCTCGCGCCCTACTTACCAAGCACCGATAGATGTGTCTGTTCGTCAACCAAACAAAGTATGAGCATTGCAAGAGGGTATACACTAGTAGTACAAATATAGTCATGACCTGTAGTCATGATAGGTCTCACGGCCCTGTCCGCCTCAACCCCCGTCAACGCCGTCGCAGTGCCCAATGAATCATACCGTGTCCCCGCGTCATCTTACATCTTGATACCCCTAGCATTCACCTCACCCTTCTCTCCAATGTTCAGACGTACACGACAATCAGGGCAATACCACTTCGTCGTGCGCGCGGGTATCTGCGCCATGCCGACACACTCCAGGTGGAACCATTCCTTGTCGCAGTTCTGGGCAAGTTGTTAGCTCAAGCGGATGCTCATGCCAAGCAGCAAGACTTACTTCGTTATCGCATGCAATCATATCCCCGAAGCTAACGCGGTTGCAATCGCAGTACCTCGGCTCGTCGGGGTCAATCGGGTTTCCCTCATCGTCTTCCTCCAACTCGATCTCAATCGGCTGGCCCTTCTCCTTCTTTTGGGTTCGCTTCTTCTTCGGCGCGGCCTTTCGCTTAGAGGCGGCACTACTGCCTCCAGCGTTCGTCTTGCTGACAATACCAGGCGCGGGCTTTCTGGTTCTCTTGCTCGGCTGTCTAATCTCTGGCACAGGAGTGTTCCTAGCGGTACTAGTTCTACGGGGTCGCTCGGCGGCCAGTGAGGGCTGTGGTTCTTGACTACTAGCTTTTCCTCGCGAGCTGGGACGACGACTCTCCGGGACGGGTGTGGTGCCTGGCGTCGCCGCCCGGGAGGACGACTGCTTGATAGACGGCGCGGCGGACGATGAGCGGTGTACGAGCGGCAGCTGGGGCTGCGGCACAGATGTAGTAGGATCAACTTGTTGCTGGGTTTTCTTAGCTTCGCCCCTTGTCTCTCTACGTGTTCCGGGGTCACGAACAGGTGGAAGAATTGGTGTCGTTGACTTCTTGGGAGACAGCGCCGGCGGTGGAATCGGCGTCTCGGCCGGTGGCTTTGTTACAATGTTCGCCGGGATGGGCGCGGGAGGTGGTCCAGCTTGAACGACAGAGCCAGTTGGCGATGACGCTGGTGCACTTGTATTGGCAGGCTTTGGCGCAGTATTTGTCCCAGGTGCATGCTCCTGACCTGGCACAGGGATGGGCACCGGCGTAGTCATCTTGGGCGTGGCAGCGGAACCTCCTGGCGTGAGAACCGGTGGCGGAATGGGAGTTTCGGTCAACGGCTGAGAGGCAAGATTGGCTCTCAGATTCGGCAGCGGGACCGGAGTCTCCGTCTTCGTGCGCTTCGGTGCCGGACGTGGCGCTGGCGTCTCGACTACTTCTGGCTTCTCAGCTTCCGCCTCTGGGATGGAGTCTCTTTTCCGCTTGTTGCCATTCGCCTTCGGCCTAGACCTCGAGCTTGACTTGGGCGCTGCTTTTGCCTGCTCGTTATTGGCAACTGACGGTGCGGGTGGCTTGTCACTAGACATTAAAAGCCGCGCTGCCTCTCTGAACTGCCGGGCGGATTCCTCAGCCTCCTCGGCCGCCTGTTTGGCTAACGACTCCCGCTTCAACTTCTTCGCTTCGTTTAGTTTCATACCCCTGTTGCTCAGCTGAATGTCGTCGGATGCGAGGGCAGCAGCACTTATAGCGCCCTCGGGAATCGGCTTGTTTTCAGATCCAGCATCAGGCGCAAGAGCCGGCGGAACCTGATCAAAGGTTCTGCCTTCATCCTCGGCCTTCTTCTTTGCCTCCTTGTAGGCATCGATACCACGACCGAGTGTCTTTAGCTCTCGCAATATCATAGTATCGCTTGGGTTCCACGTAGCGTTCTTCTTCATGCGCTTCCTGAGCCTGGCAAGCTCCCAGGGCGTCAGCTGCAGCCAGGGGGCATCCGTGCTTCCTATCACGGCGTTCTCCGGTGGCGGCTGCAACGCGGCGGCAGGAGTGGCTGGCACAGTGTGGACTTTAGGAGGGCGCGATGCCGGTGTTTTCGGGGTCTTTGGAGGTCTTGCTTTGGGTGTTTTGACGACCTTGATTCTTGGTGCAGGCGTAGACCGGGTGGGTGGAAGAGATTCCTCGTCCTCGGAGGAGGAGCTGTCGTCGCTGTCATCCGAGTAGGCCACAAACTGGTCGTACGGCGGAAGAACCTCACCAGGAACAGTAATCCTAGGAATCCGTGGGCGCCGCACCTTCTCCCCATCCCCGGTCCGCATCATCTTGGGTGCTCTGACCATCTGCGGCGACTTGGACGTTGCCACAGGGCTCTTCTGCTCCTCCGCGGGATAGTTCTCCATCATGTTCTTCAACTTCGCCAGGATCGCATTTGCGCGATTATAATGCCGGTTGACGTTCTCTGACATGCGCACCGCCTCGGCATGCGAGTACACCCTCGAGCTGACAGCATGATTCAGGCTGCTTGAGATATCGGCGCGTAGCTGTGTGGGTGAGGGTCTCTCGTCGGCCGGAAGACTGGGAAGCTTGCCCCAGGTGGAGGTGAGGTTGTGGACGTTGAGGGAGGCCTCGGAGTAGGTCTGGTCGAGCTTGCCGATCAGGGTAAGGGATCGCATCATATCGGAAGGGAGGTACTCGGTGAAGTCGAGAAAGTCGGTGACGGTGGCTTGTGCATCGGGATCGGCGCGCATCTCGAGAGATTCGACGGAGTTGCTGATGGAGCCAAGGGACTGGCGGATGTCGTGCTCGACCGTCGTCTTGTTTTTGGGCGACACATCGACGTCCATGGCGTCTCCGGCGCGCTCCTCGGTGGTGGCCATCTTTGCTGAGCTGAAAATGTCTCTGCGGCCGCTTCTTGGGGGCGCTTATCCCTATGAATGCATTTGTATCGTGAACTGCGGTTGTGGGTGTTGGTTGCGCTGCAATTCGATACTGCGCATACTTTGAGATGTTGTCGGCTGGCGCGTTTACGAGGGGAGTCGCGACCTTGAGCGTCGCCCAGTTTAGCTTGGGAAGCTTCCTGACGCTAGCAGGAAGTAGCGGGGCCCCTGACATCCACTGACAGATCCTTGTTGAGCTGGCCTTGACTTGGTCTGTGCTGGCTTTCGGAACATACAACTTCCATATCCGAGATTCCGCCAGGGCCCACGGCGGCTCGAGCACGGGCCAGGCCAGTATCTCCCCCGTCACGGTGGACCTCGCCGAACCAGGTGACTCTCTAGTGCCAATGATTAACAATGCCAATCGAGATCGTCATACGCAGCTTTCGACTTCAGAGCTGAAGCCATTCAGCTACATCTTAGGCAGACGTGTTTTTCTCTTCTCGAGACCATAGGCTCTTGAATATACACGACATTTTTCAATCTACGGAAGCATCATTCAATCAAGGACACTTCAATTCAACATGTGTCAAAAAATAGCCCATTGAAGAACGCCATTCCCAACGCTGAAAAGCGAACAGACAGAAGCCTCCCAACGCAATATCGTACAAACAATGTTTCCCGCCGGTCGTTTCCCATAATTCCAACTCAGCTAGCCCGATTACCTCCCCTGCATCCCACGTCCATCTCCCAGAACCCCGGGAAGACGCTCGCATGCATGTCTCAGTTACACCACACACATCCCATCCCATGCTTCACCAGCGCGCTTCCTCCTCGCGGCTGATAATCGCACCCCAAATATTTTCCTCCTCCTCGGCCTGATACCCAGAGTTCTCGCCAATAATGGTGAGGGTGCCATACAACGTCATCTTTTTGCATCTTCTACATCGCGACACCGTCAGCATTACGATCACTGTCGTGCTCCACGAAAAAGAAAGGGGGCATCTGTGACTGACAGGAAGCCATTGATCGTCGTGTTGCCATAAATCTCGAGCTCCTTGGCCTCGCATGTGCCGGTAACTCTCAACTTTCCGAAGCCTTTGACCTTGTCACTGGACCATCCTCATTAGCTTCCAGTCAGTCAAGTGCTTGAACCCGGTCGTATTGCTTACCCGACAGACATGTACCCCGCCACATTGATGTTGCCATAGGCCTTCATCTTGCCCCTTGCAAATTCATCAGCACCCAAAATTTTCCAACCCAAATTCTCCGAGGGACTTACTCGCAGGACAGATTTCCATTGACCTCGATCCCTCCATACGCCTCCACTTTATCCCGGACGTCAAAGTCCCCGTTGAACGTGAGATTACCCCCCGACCTCACCGACCCAGCAACCTCGATGGGTCCCTGGAGCGTGATCTCGCCCTCGCTCTTGATGGACTTGGACTTGAGCACCGTCTGCTTGGGCGTCCCCGGGTCCGCAGTGGTTGGCGCCGTCGTCGACGAGGAAGCATAGTAGCTGTCCGTCCCCGCCGGTGATGCGTACTGCTCTTCGTAGTTGTGTTCTCGCGTGCTCTCCTGGCCTTTCCTGGACGACTTCTTGGATCTGGAAGAAGACATTGGGAGAACCAATAGACACGCAGCAGCAAATGCAGAATAATGTTGAGAATAATGCTCCGTGAAAGAAGATTACGATGCCCATTCTAAATCTCATCTCTATTCGAGGAGATCCCAAACTCATATATGGAGATCCCCAAGTCCCCACGCTCCTCAAGAACGCCGTCCTCGAAGAAAGGTCATCGATATCGCACCGGCAAACGCCTCAGCCGCATCATACAACCCAAGAACAAGCACGCAAAGCTGAACACTCCAGGTTGCATCCAACGCAATTCCACTCTCCTCTCCCCCCGCGAACCCCAGCAAGAGTCAACCTCGACCATTCCCACCTCCGCGCAGAACATGACCGGTCACCACCAGAAGCAAGGGCCCTAAAGCACCAGATAGGCATACGATCGACCGTCATGCAACGTCGAACAGGCATACTCACCTGCGCTAAGATGTGCATGTCCCAAGAAATGCAAGGCAAATCATCGTCACCACCATCCCAAGAAACAAACACCATGACCCCGGCTGCACATCACCGCCTTGCGCCGGGCAAATCATTCCGCCCTCACCCACGCCTCCCCAAGCGCGGCAGACGCCGGAACAAGCATCCATCCCGTTCGTGACCATGACCATGTCCGCGCCCCCATGAACACCTGAACACAGTCCTCTCCATAGTCTCAGTTCATCACCAATACCCGGGAAACAGAAACCCTGGGCAGTTCCCTCCCCGAACCCCGGTGGGACCCGCAAAAAGAAAGCCTGACAAGAAACACAGTCCAAGTAACCCGCCTTTCGGTATCAAGCCCTGCACAAATCATCCCGACCCGGCCTCCTCGGTCACCAGGAGGAGGGGAGGGCGCAGCCTCGCCTGCACCCTTACAAAGAAAAGCATGCCCAATGTCCGACCACCTCGCTACATCAACCAACGAAGAAAAAGTGAGCTCGCCTCATCAAAACATGCATTGATTAAGAGCGGGCAGAAAAAGGGTGCCTCAGCTGTGTTCTCCGCCCATGTCGCGTAGACACCGCAGCAAAGCCCGAATGAATTGCTCCTTCTTTCCAGGCTGCCAGGCTCTTGCGTCGTCGCGTTCCTGGGCTCGTCTACCACCACCACTACCCCCCACCCTTTCAGCCCTACGTCGGCTGCCCGACCACTCAACTCAATTCCTCCTCCAGCCGGTCCCCAACCAGGCGCCAGAGACATTTTCCCGCTAGCGCGCTGCACAGAGCCGATTGATATGGACTAGCCTCCAGCTCTATTGTCCAGGCGAGGCTGACTGGGGGTTCATCATGACCGGCACGTCGCCCCCGAAAGGGCAAGATCGTAGCGACGAGACCAGTGTATGCCCAGGTTTGCTGCATTCAAAACCGGTTTCTGGGAGCCCACACCGAGACACAGCTTTTGAAGAGATATTGAGTTGTGCATTACTCAAGATAGATACGAGAGAGAGAAAAGGAAAAGCAAAAAAGCAGAAATGGTATACAGAAGCTTGATGACTGACGGAGCAAGGCGCAACATCCATGTTGTGCACCTTTCGCAGTCCCCGTGGTCCGTCCCAAACAGATGGCCAGCCTCCTCTTCTGCCCGTTACAAAGCTGCAAAAAGCAGCTCGCAGTAAACCCGCCCATGGCTGATGACGAGTTGCCCGACAAACTCCTCTTGAACCCAAAAGCAATTCCCAAGTCTGCCCCGCCAAGCTGGCCGTCCTCCTAGTTTACAGTACAAAGTGAGGCAAACTCTCCCCACACTTATGCCTCTCCGCCACCGACGAAGCCGAGGCCGACGCCTGTGAGGAATGCAGCAGCAACCCAGGCACCGGCGTAAAGGGCAGCACCATAAGACTCAACGCCGTTGACCGTCATGAAAGTCTGCAAGTATGTGTTGACACCCGTCAAGATCATAGCCACCGTGGTGCGGAAAATGACGACCTTTGCACGTGTGGTGTAGCCCCACAGGTTCCAAGCCAGGGTCTCGCCCAACGTAGCCGTGGCGGGGTCGAACTCCTCCAGCTTACCATCCTCCGTGGTCTTGCCGGTCGCCACAAATGGTGTGAAGATGTAGGTCTTCGCGGCGATACCGAAAGCCAATGTAACAGGAAGCGTGGCCACGAAGTTGGAACCGTAGGCGGGCTCCAAGGTGGGCAGGCCCTTGAAGTACATCACCAGTGCCGTCGGCAGATACGTCTTGTACGAGACGAAGAGGGTGGCGCTGTAGGTGGCCGCCGCGAGGACGGTGGTGAAGATGGTGATCGAGACGTCGGAAAGGAGTTCGCGGTTGGCGACGTTCTTAGCGCCGGCGTGCGCGCCCGACAGAGGCCTAAGGAGCTGGAATGGTACAAAGGTGGAAAGCATCTCGATGCCCAGCGCCGAAATTGCGGTGGCAGGGCTGATTTTGTAGAAAGTTGCAATGAGGTAAACCTAAACATAACTTCTCGTCAGTACGCCGAAAAGCTTGATTCGGATGTCTCCGAACCACCGTCCACGACGAGATTGAACATACCGGTGGACCATGCGCGAGCAAGTTGAGCGCAGCGAGATCGTAGCTGTCGAAGTTGCCGAACCAGCCCAAAGCAAGCTCGAATCTGTCCAAAACAACCCATATCAGTAAACGCGCATTCAATGCGGTTATCGCGTGGCCAGTCGCTGATGGAGCTCTCGCGAGCTCAGGACAACTCACATTCTCCATCCAGCCAGTGTCGCGACTTCTCCCCAGGTATCAAGGCTCTTGGAGATGCCTGCCAGCTCTCCGCGACTCCACTCGCTGAGGAAACTGTAGCACAAGCTCGAAATGCTGAAGCTCAGGACTGCGACGAGGGGGAACTGTAGCGCGGTAGGCAGGTGCGAGCGCTGCCGTCTAGGGTGCTGGTGGTCGCGATCCCTTTCGCTGATCTGCTCTGTGATCTCCTCCTTCGTTGTGACATCCGTCGCATCCTTGACGACGCCGAGCGCTTCGAGCTGTCCATCAGGCGCGGTGGCCAGGGTCTCGAGGTTGCTCGCGACAGGTTCGACCGCGCGAGTCTTGGTCTCGTCAACGTCGATGTCGATGTCTTCGACGGGCCGTGAGGCAGCTCTTCTCCTGAGAGTAGGCATTGTGATTTGTTTTTTGGTATGTTGTGTGGAGGTGTTGTGAGTGAGTGTCTGCTTCGAAGAGCCGATTAAAAGGAGTAAGTGCACCTAGCGATGCGCCCAGCAAGAGGGGTAGAGGAAAGGAAAAATCGGGCGATAGCACGATAAGACGACGCGAAGCGCAGCTACCGTTTGCGACTTGCGACAGAATGAGCTCAAGAAGGTAAGAGGGAGAAAAAAGTGAGACCTTCCTCTCCCACCAATACGGGTAATCGTGGCCTATGATGTTGACGAGTGGAGAAGAAAGCTGTGCCTGCGGGTAAGGTGACGTCGCCGGGGAAACATCAGCTAGAGGAAGGTGGTGAACGCGAAGGACGCTGAAAGGGCCCGCAATGGCTGATTGCCTTAGGTAAGGCAGCTAGGTTGGAGGCCTTGACAGCTGGCACTAGCTGGCAGCCAGCCCGGGGCAGCTGGACCGTCATGCTTGTTGTCGCTGCTGCCACTGTCTGCTCATTCCCCATACCGCCGGCCCCCGAACGACCGCCGTGCTTCCGCCCACTGCAGCACCCCAAACTCCACAGCGAGCGGGTGCTCGCAAGGATCGAATTTTACTTGCTCCGTTTATTCGATCCGTATGTTGCAGAGTTTTCTCTTCTCTGCTTTTTTTCCTCCTCTCCTGCATGCTTTCATCATCTTCCTCGCCAACCTAGAAACATAAAATACCCAATTGCCTCCCTCGCGTTTCGGGCCAAAACATTTCCTCTCTCTCTAACGCTCTGTTCCATCAGCCTCCCGTGTGCTTGCCTGGGTGCCTGTGTGATCTTCGAAGCTTGATGAGCTCACATGCAAATCTTCGCCTTCGGGAGCAAAGCTCCGGGGATGCTGCCTGGCTAAGTTTGTTGCTGGCTTGAGCCTGCCAACCTGCCGCATCAATCCAGCCAACCATCGCCATGGTAAACAAGAGCCACCGACTACAGCCAGTCATTTATTGCCAACCATCTCCGTCATCAAGGCCAAACAGGTCACAACTTGCACATGCCGATTTTTGAGCTTTTTTTCTCTTTATTTCTTATGCTGGCGTCAAACCGATCCAAAGAGCTTGCGGCCATTCGTGTGGACATCGCACTCGTTTGTATCGTAAGATCCATCAGTGTGATAGTTTGGGCGTTCGCTCGACGCCTTCTCCGTCTCTCACTTTAACCTCGTGGAGATGCAATCTCGATCTCCTTCCCCCCGGCGCCCAACGCCTTGCTCCCCCTCCCATGGCCTCGCCATGATGATGCAAGATCGGGCCCTCCACTCCTTGGTGCTGAGAGATCGGCGGCGGAGACAGAACCACCTCATTTACAGGGTTTAGCAAATGGTGGTACAAATGAAACATTCCTCCCCTCGTCTTCCCCTCGCGGTCATGAACTCATATCCTCAGATATCGTCGGCATCAACGGTCGATGGCAGAAGCGCTACTCTTCCATCCGTCCGAAAACGCCATCGTCGTCCTCGTCGCTTCGAGATCGAGATCGACGGTCAAAGTCGTCATCGTCCATGACACTGTCGTTGTCCTCCATCTTGACATCGGCGCCGCGAACTTCACCGCGAGTGAAGCTCTCGGGCTGTCTGCTGGGGAAGCTGCTGAGGAATCCTGCGCTGAATCCTGCGCTGAAGCCACCACTGAACCCTGCACTGGAGAATGATGCGGCTTGATCGAGGTATTGCGCCGGCAGAGGAGGCACGGGAGGAGCATCAGCGGGAACACCCACCGGGCGCCCGTTGTTGCTGTTGAAACTGCAGCTCAGGAGCTCGACGGCAGCCGCAAGGTCACGGTCTTCTTGACCAGTAGCATTCCTTCCTGACGACGGTGGTCGCTGGTCCTGGCTGTTGTGGCGGAAGTGGGAGGAGATTCCTTTGTCATGGGGCATGCTGCCCGTCACGAGTGGGTTGGTAGAAGGCGCAGATTGATACGACCGACCGAATCCGCTTCCAGAGCCAAATCTCTTCGCGAACGAACGATCCGACGAAGCAAAACCTTCCAATTGAGGCGGAGGAGTGGTATCAGCCGAGCTGTGCCTTTCGTCCGAGTATCCAGATGCCGCCGGAGAGGCAGACTCTTGGTCACTGGGGAAATCCTTGGCAGAATCCGGGGGCGTGGCCGCGTCGGCGTCGGCCTCGTCCTTACCATGGTTCATTGTCAGAAGGACAGATGCTGCCTCGAGTAGTTGCACTTGTTGGTGCTTAGAGATGAGGAGCTTGGAAGTCAAAGACCACTCGGGAGTGTGTTCCCACCTGACCAGAGAATGAGTCAACGGACGCCCGATTACTACATTGATGATACCAGGTCCGTCGTTCGGATCTCGAAACCCGGGACAGGAACTGGAGAACGGGGATGCGGGGGAATGGGGAAGGGAACGAACAAATGCTTGGTCAGGCAACTGCTGTGCTTGTATCCCTTTCCGCAAGTCTCGCACTTGAGCTCAACGCGGTTGAACTTCCTGCTGCCCTCCTTGACGAGAGGCTGGCCATCGCTAGCGCGACGCATGCGAGCCTTTTGCGTGTTATTTTCACCCTCGTCGCCCGATGCGTTATTCGGTTCGTCCTCAATTGCGTTCTCGTTGACGTCCATCTTGCCGTCCAAGTGGAACTTCTGCGTTGGCAGGCTCGCTGGGGGAGAAGGTAGGCTCCCGACGATTGCGGCGCGAGCGGCAGCGCTCTTCGATGCCGTGTTACGGCGAGAGCTCACGGCAATAGGCGTGACCTTATCCCCTCCGACTTCTCTGATCGCCGCTGCCATGGCTGCCGCGTTCGCAGCAGTGTTCGTCATGGACTTTCGGCGGGTGACACGGTGGTTGGCATTGAGGGCGCCGCTGAGGATGGAGTGGGAGTTGGTACGCGAGTGGGATTGTCGGGTGGTAAGTCCGGAAGAAGAGGCAGACGAGAGCGACGGACGGTGCTGGTTCAATGGCCTCGTGGTCTGCTGCATTTCCTGAAGACGGTCGACGAGTAATCAGCACGAGAGACTGGGTTGCGGATGCGTGATAGGAGCGAGCTAGGCAGGGCAGGGCATGGGGTAGAATCCCGAAGTCGGGCATACTTTTGAGGAGGCCATTGCCGACTACCGATGCTGATCAGGTTCGACGCGGGTGGTCGAACACTTTGTGACTCGCAAAATATCGTAGAAACGTAGTCGTTTGTAGAAACGGTGGTGTTTTGGTGGTGGTGTTGGACGGTGTTAGACGAGTAGGCAGGTGATGAGTGAGTCGCAAAGGCAAGCCTCCGGACGCAAGAAATAATATTATTTTGGGGAGGAGCAGCAATTCAGCAGGGGTGTGTCTGTGGGCGGGTGTGCCTAGTAGCTCCGAGCTGGGCCAGCCGACAGCATGTGGTGGGAGGTGGTGGTGGTACTGGTAGTGGTGGTATTGAACGGTTAAGGGTGTCTTCCTTTGGAGGGGGCTCTAGGGGGGTTAGTCGACTGATGATCAACAGGGCTTTCGAGGTCCAGGCCGGCTTCAACTTTTTTGTTCTTGTGCTGTGTTCTGTGTTGCTTTGTTTTGTATGGACGGAAGCTGAGTGAGAGCAAAAGTTGTGGGCTCGAGACAGAGGACGTTTGGAAGAGGGACCCAAAAAGTCCAGCGATGGGCGAAACAGACCAGACAGCCCTTTCCCAAGTTGAGAATGAAAGAGAAGCGCTGGTCGGGGACGAGGATCTGTCTTCATTGGCCGCTTTAGCAACAAGATCACTAGGATGAAGGTGCCAGAAGGAGGGATGGAGGGGAGGGGCACAGTCTCCTCTCTCTGTCTCTCTCCCGCCGTCTGTCTCCTGCTCTGCGTCTCTTCGTCTCTCGCTCTGCCCACGACACTCCCTCCCACGTCCTCATTGCTCACCTTTCGCCATACTGTGCTTTGTACCGCCGTAGAGCGCCGCCAGACAGCGAAAGAGGAGAGGAAGGGTGGAGGGATGTGGTGGTGGACTGGGGCTGGGGGTGGGCCGCGGAAAAGGGGGCGTAGACTTTGGAGTTTGGTTGGAGAGTGGAAGAAGTGTCCATGGGTGGGCAACCGGGGCGGGCACGGTATGGATGGTGAAGTGAAGGTGCCTCTTGCCCACTTCCACCTTGCGCAGCCGCAGGAGGAGAGAGAAGGTGCCCAGTGCCAATTGCAGTCCCACAGTGTAAGGTACTTCGTACCAGCCGCCAGGCCTGGGCTGCCAGGTAGCACCACGCGCTCGCTCCGGTGGTGGGAAGTGGACGACGACGCTGTGGACAGCGGACGGGCGCCAGGAACAAGGAGCATGGAGCATGGCCCGTGGTGTGTCCTTGTCCCCTCTGGGCTTGCCCTGGGCCGCCGCTGGACCAGCGATGGTCGGCCTCCCGAGCGATTGCTGTGTCCGTAAGGCGCCGGTGCGGCGGGGAAAGGTCACTCGCAGAGGGGTGAGCTGATCAATCTTGGGAAACCAGTCCATTCAGACCCAGGCCCAAGTTGCAGTCCCCCGTCCCCATGTTCAGTCCAGCCAGATCCATCAACCAATCCTTGCTGATTCAAGCCCGATAGCGTGCCTGGGTTGCATGTCGTAAATAGCAATGGGCAATTTTATGTCCGGCACTTTCATCCTCTCGAAGCTGATGTGCTCGAAGCGATGGTTCTGAAAAAGACTGCCTACAGCAGTTAGTTATTGCGAGCCTCGTTCAGCAGAGTTGCTCGTGCAGGCGGTAGAGACGAACCCGGGTTAGGTGTAAGCGTTGGATGTCTTTGGAGAGAGAGGCATCCACCGTCAGCGCAAAGCCAAACGTAATGAGATGCCCCAGCAAAGGACCGCCGTTCTTTGTTGGTATGGTGCCTCGCCCGTCTCACTCCAAAAGATGGTGGACTCGTCGTGCCTTGCTCTGCCCGGACAAAGGTGGCTTAATTTGGCTCGGGTGGCCCATTCTTCTCTAGTCAATTCCCCTCGCCGTGCTCTCGTCTGAAGTGAGAAAAGGTAGTGTTGTGCCAGCCTTTTTTTCTTTTTTTCTTCTTCTACTCATTGGGGTTGATTTGACGAAAGATGCTGTTCGCGAGGGAACCCAGTGGAATGATTGAGAGGATGGGTTCAGGAAATGCCATGTCTGGGGTTCAAGCGAGAGGCTCGTCGTTAAGCAAAGTGGCATGTTTCGGCGACCGCCAGACGCTTAGTTGCGTTGCACCCCACGACAGCTTCTCTCCCCTGCCTGCTGGCCTGACAACTCCATCAGGTACCCGTAGGTGTATCCGTCCAACCTCAACCGGAAGTCCATCCTTTGCTCCCGGGCGCGGCCAGGAGTCTGGAGATGGAGCATTGGTCGCCTCCGTTTCTCAATTAAATGGAGAAGTGGCTCCTCTTCGGATCAGGAACGAGAGTTAGAGGACGCGGGGAGAAACGCAGTAGCAGCATCCATAGCTCTGCCGTGTTTTGGTTTCGATGCTTTGCCATGCCATGGCCTGCCTTGCCATGTTGTCCATGCCGCGTTGTGCTGTGCGAGCTTCAAGGTTGTGAGCTGTGTGAGCTGTGCGCAATGCGCTGTATTGTGCTGTGCCGTGGACGAATGAGGGGTAGCAGGCCGGACGAGAGACAGGAAACTTGGGGAAGGTGGAATAAGAAAGCGCTGCGTGTCTGCAAAGTACAGATATTGAAACTCGGATGGATGATGTGCAGCGTTTCTTCAATTGCCGTGTGTGCCTTGACATCGGCTCGGGTAGACATTGAGACAGAGAGCTCTTTCCTGAGTTGGTTTCTGTTGCTGTCAACGTACGTGTTCTCTGGCTTCCACTTCTCCATCACCTCCTGCCAATCAATTGAGTTGAGTGGTGGTAAGAACCGGAGATCTCAGCAGGCCGCAGAGAACACCAAAAGAAACAATAAAGAAAACAAAATTCCCCGACGGTTCTGTTGATCGTTGATCACACGGGAGCCAAGCTAGAGACAGTTCTTCGACGGCGCTGTTGGGCTGATCAGCATTGGGGAAGCTCGCTCTGGGTACCTAGGTGCTCGCACTAAAATTATGCTGCTGGAGAAGCAGGAACCAGTTCTTGCACAGTGCAGAGCCATTGGTTAAGATGCAGAAAGATACCTCGCCCTGCCCTCCTCAGAGAAACCACATGCCCATCAGTGCTACAGTCACGCCCCCAGTGCAGACTACAGTGTTAACTCGGAGGCACGGTGATTGGACACTGTGTGGCGATGGCTGACAGCGCTCCTGCGACCGCACAGTGGGGACAGTGTACGGATACCTGGGGAAAGTCCGTCCGTATTGAGAGAGGCAGTGACGTAGTTGCTTCCGACTGTACAAACACGGACCAGGTCTCAAAGTCTCCATTCTTGTCAGATCAGGGGCAGCAGGTGCAGTTCCATGTTGAGCGGAAAGCACGGTGGAAAGCAAGGGGAAAGAAATGCCTCTTGTCGAGGAAAGAAAAAAAAAGACCAGATAAAAAAAAAAAGCGGTACACAGTTGAATTGCAGAGTGCGACAGCAACTGCGACGATGGAGAGAGAACCACTGGCCAATTGGTAGGGTATTACTGACTATCCGTACCTACTGCCACCACACCACCCACACGCCCCTCCTCTATCTCTTCCCCTCTTCCTTGTCACTTCACTTCAGGTTGTCTTTCCAATCCCACTCCTTGCCCAGCTCGTCCCCCATCCTGCCTTAGGTAAGGGCATCGCAGTCCAGCCAAACCCCCAGCGACGATGTGCTAATCGTGCCCCCAAGAGGATGGCCGGGCGCGGGCTCTGCACTTGGCGACCTTTCCGCCTGGGGCTGCCACACCTAATCCCTCCTCACCATCACCACCTCCAACCACCAAGACGTTCTGGTCCAATGCAGGCCCCTCCCGGTGACCACAAATCACAGGACTCACCCGCTGGGACGGTCTGCCTGAAGTTATCCAGCTTGTTGGTTGCCGTTGGGGCGGCCAGGAGCGAATCCGATGAAGAGGCTGCCCGAGCTTGAGGCTTTCTGACGCTGCTGTGCTGGCTGGCGCGTCAGTCAACGCCGCCGCCCCCGTCGTCGTATGTATATGTACGCACTTTCTGATGCATACGATGCGATGCCATGCGATGGCGAATCTTTATGCTCGGCTACGTTACCTCGCCTGTCCCTACCTGCTAATTGTCTCGAATTCGTCAAGCGCACGACTCCCGCAGACCACAGTCGCCTCATTCGTGTCCTTGCTGGCCATGAATCCGCTGATCCCAGAGAACTCTCTTCTGAGGTCTTTACCGCGGCACGCATTACGGATCCCGCAGTCCCGGGAAAACGCTCTATCTCAAGGGCCGTCTCGCTCCCGTCTCGTCATTTCCGTACTAGAGCGCCGCCAGAGCCATTCGGGACGGTCAGCTGCTCCCATCTCCCTTCCATCGGGCACCATGCGGCCTGCTGCTCTGGGCAAGTCGGGTGGGCTTTCGTGGCACTGGCGGCACGCCGCTCCTCCCGTCGGTCGTTGTGCTCTCTCCGATGCAATCCGTCGCTGAAGTTGTCTCTGCCCGCCGCCGCCTCACCGGTCAGAATGGACCACGTTCGCCACTTGACTCTACTTCCCCGGTATCTGCGCTTTTCAGGTGTGGTGTAATATCTAAACAGCGGGCAGGAATTTCACAGGCAATGGGAAGATCGTCAGCGAAGAATTCCTTCCAGCACCGGCCGGCCCGCCAGTAACCGGACCGGACATGGACACGCCACGCCACACTGCAAGCTGGTAACGAAGAGTGAGGGCATGTCTTGCTTGAGTCTTGAAAGCTTTTCGCCTTCTCAATGCACCTAGCATGCAACCAGTGCGTCACTGGGCGCAGCCGTCCAAGTCCAGGCTGGGTTGATCGGAGTTTCAGTTGCCAAAACTGACGCTTTGAATGCATCCAAGACATCTTCGGCGTGTCCCGTTGTTCGGGCTTGAATGTGTCCTCAACGTCGAATGAAGTCTTCTGGTGGCTCGTAATGGAGTCATTCTGCCTGACGTCCAGCAGTTGGACGAGAGA